TCTTTAATCTTTTCTCAAAAAACAGAAACTAATGGACTCAATTTAAGGTTTATAGATGAAACACTCTATAGCCCGAGGGCAGCGGCTGGAAAGACCATGTCTCCATAAAATTTTAAGTTGGTCTGAGGTATTCACAAGAGTTATCCTCGAATCTCAATGGCTTGTATCAACATGGCCATCGCGCCTCCTTACCTCCTATCTCGGCTATACAAGTTTTGATTCTTTAAATTTTTGACTAGTATTTTCACTTGACGGAACACGAAGCGATCATACAACCTTCATTTTTTCTAGGTATAGAGAAGAATAAACCCAGTCGCTAATTCAGTTCTTGTTCCCTTTGATTTCTATAACGAAACCCCAAGCAATTACCCAATGTTTTGATTCTGAAGAACGCTATCAGAAAAACAAATATTTCAAGTTCTAGTGTGCGCTGGAATGCAATAACGTAATGTCGATGATTATAAAATGCTTCATATATTGCTTTTATTTGTATTTTCTTAGCTTTTGTTAAAGTAAATACCTTGCACTGTTATTGATAATCATATTGAACTTTTAATTGTAAGAACACATTGTCACGCCCGAGGTCCATTTTGCAGATAGGGCTCATCAGGTGATTGTGTTACAAACTGAGTTTGTAGAAATAACAATTGTAAGGATAAGTAGGCGAAATCTCTTTTGCTTTATTCCCCCTAGCCTCAGAGCCATTTTAGAATTTTGATATATCAAAAGTGGCCCTTTGGATCGCTTGTGATCATTGGTTTGCAAGCTAAAAGAGGACTCCTTACAGCTTTATTTACTGATAGATAATTAAAATATATGATACATAAAAGTTTTCGGTGTTTCACAATTTCATTGTAATGGGGAACGAAATCAAGAAACCAAGACTGTTCTTTTGGCTCGTTCTGCGGCTATGGCGTCCAACTCGTGTAAGGTTTTGAATTTAGACGTGAGTTTGTCCATATGACTGGTTGATTATAGGAATTTAAGGAAAAATCTTGATTCAACTACGGATTGTGAGAGATTCTGCGTTCAGCCTGGAGTAATAGCACAGTTGAGAAGGTCTCAATGGGGTTAACAGTAAGCCGTAAAGTGGCCAAAAATTTATACGATAAACGTGAAAATTGACAAATTTTAAGCGTTAATCTTAGAAAAAAAGTCGATCTTAAAAAGAATTGTGATTAGCACAATGGAAAGATATAAACCGTTAGCCGCAATTTGGCCAGAATTTTAAAAGCTATCGTTAATAGCTATCACCCCATTGAGACCCTCTGTCGATCGAGCGGACGATGTTGAAGTCCTAAATGTAATAACTTTCCTAAATGTAATTAAGTCCTAAATGTGGAATATTTGGTTATAAATGTAATAACATTTAGTTCTTAATGTAATAAGCCTCCAATGTAATCGTTTAACTCCGCCAGTGTATTGTTTCTGTAGCGGACATTCAAACTGAGATGTTAAAGTGACAGCTGATGCACCAAAAAATCCCCTGACCAGTATTCATGTCGCATTGCGGGCACGCTGATATCAATCAGCGTTTTTTTTTATTGCTTGACTTAAGTCGAGAAGCATTGGCTGCAAACCATTAAACTGATTAATAATTGGCATCAAATGACAGCTGGCAAAACAATGAGTACGCTAATCAATACCTCTCCATAAATGACTGGCTCAGACCCTTAAGTGCAATAGATTTTGGAAAAATGTGATAACGTAATACTTTTGTGATCAGTGACGGAGTTAACAAGTCATAAACGAAATTACAAACTCGGACCAGGGAGTTCGCTGACTTCTAGGTCGGACAGGTTGTAGGCTCGGATATGCATTTTATGTCTTTCCTTACCTGAATAAACCTCGTGAGCATGCACATTTTATTTCCCAATTCGGACCTCATGACAGCACTCTAGAGGGTTATTACTTTCAAATTCTCGAATATATTCGTGAATGGACAAAATAATGTTTCTTCCCAAGAAAACATAACTGGGACAATTACATTCTCTCGATCTTGTAATGCATGCGACAAATCCGATCAACGAATAAGGTATTGCATGAGTCTGCATCAAATTACATACTCAGTGACTTAAATTTACCAGCGTAAATGCAAAGAAGCAGCTGACCAGTACATAATCTGAAAATGCCGCCTCAGATTGCCAATCACAAAATAGACGTTTACAGGAGCCCATTACTTCTCCTGACGTTTAACTAAAATCTTGCGCGTGTCATCAACGACTGAACTCAATGACAAGCACTATAATCGCATGAACTGTCTTAGCGTTTTAAAAAATGCGGTTTATAAATACACGCTGACTGATATCAGCGTGCCCGCAATATACCATGAATATTGGTCAGAGGATTCTTTGGTGTGAATGCCCGCTTTAACAACAATGTACCAGCGCAGTTAAACGATTCCACTTAAGGCTTATTACATTTACGACCAAATGTTATTACATTTAGGACTTAATTACATTTAGGACAGTTATTACATTGAGGCCTTCAATACGATCCTTACAAGGCATGGGTGACGGAAGAAATTAAATGCCGAGCCCAGTTCCGCACTTAGTCAGTTCTTCGAACTCAACCGTAATCTAACCTCGTAATTGGGCACAAGACAACATAAGCTGGAGTGATCTTCTGGTCAAATTGATAGTAACAGCTGATATAACCCCCAATCTCCTGCTTACATGTAATTCCCAACTTGGCAATACATATCACGGTGCTAGTCTCGACATTTTGCTTTTAAAGAGGATGTTACCACTTAGCTTGTGCAGTCTCTAAATATGTCTACCTCCACCGCATTTGAGGTTGATGGAAACAGTTTTTCCTAAGTTCTAACCGGCAATATTAGAGCGCTCAAACATCAACTCTCCCCGTTTGCAGTCGTACGATTTTGACACATGTTATTAGGAACGGATAGAAGTTTGAAATAGTGGGTGTGGTGTGGCACTCGTTGTCATAATGCCAATGTTATTGGGAAATCTCACGGTACAGTCTTTGAGGAAGGTCTCGAAAAGTCCTACGTACTTTTTCATCGCTCTTTTAGAATTTTCTTTATTTTGGAGTAAGGCCCACTGTTGAGTAATTTTCAACAAATTAAATTTAGCTTTTATAAAATTGCTTTGCCACAATGTTTTTTCCGATTTATCAGCCGCAAAATGCTGCAAATTTCAACACTTTCCAAGCTATTTTTTGCCAATGTTAAAAACAGTTACTAGTATCAATGATACACTAAAACTTAGGAAATTACAACTACCTTTTTTTCAGCAGTAGTGTACATGACGCTAATGCGATAGGTCCGTTTAGCTCAGAACTGGTTCCATGCAATTTTTCTGAACTTTTTCTTAGTGAGATACGAGACGATGTAACTAGAAAGGCTAGGAAATATTACCCCTATCTTATTCTCAGTGTTTTGTAGCTTCACGGTAAGAAGTTGACAGCGGTTTTTTTTGTTTTGTAATGACAATGCCACCTGCGTCAATCTGAAAGACGTGTGCGGATTATTTAAATCAGCGACTATAAATCTTCTATTTTCTCATGTGCTTCATTTCTGCAGATCCCGCATCGCAAACGCTAGGAAGCGGCTCGAGGCAGTCTAAGGCTCGCCAAGATCTGAGCCCATTTCTAACTGTGGCCAAATATTTAGTTCTGTAATTGAATTTTTTCCGATACTTTGGAATTATGTGGCTATATACATTACAGACAGCTTGCTTTGGGGTTGTCAAATAAACATTTGTGCAACTGAGAGCTTTTCAGAGAATCTAAATTGTTAACGAAATAAATGAGATATTTTGTGCTATCGTTTGCGATTCTATTTCTTTTGTGACTCTGCGTTCTACCTTTAAGAATTTCATGACCGAAACGTCATTTGCATCAAAATACTTCAATTTTTTTCGGTCTTTCTTTTTTAAGTATACTTTTTTATTTCCTGGTATTAAATATTACCAACGCCATATAATTTTATCCGACTGATTGTCATGGTAAAGAGGAATTGGCTTTGTATTCAGCCAACGACAATAAATGCCGAAACATCGTATTCCTTCAGCGATATTAATGAAATCTGTGCTCAGGTATACACTTTAAATCAGCTGAACAAGATTGCCCTTCCGGACAACAATGTTTAAGGTCAGGGCAACAAACAGCATTTGTTAGAGGACAACATGAATACATCCGAGGACTCCTCCATGGACAACACGTGAAAGTACTCCAGCATATCATTCCATCCGGGCATTTTTTCCATTTTGTACCATTTAATGATGCAGTGTCCTGCAATATAGATGCACGTGTTGATCATTTCATCGATCGATTGGTTTACTCAATATATCTTAGACAAAACACCCATTTTATGAATAGTTAATAAAAAATGCCTACATGTGAATTAAACAAAGATTGCCATACGGTGTTCCTCCGACTCCCAATCGGGGCCTTTATGGAGGAAAAAACAATGCTTTACTTTGACATGTTTTTAAAAACATTACACATTACGCGACTTTACCAATACTGAGGTTAGAATGAATGCTGAGATTGGCCAACCGTGTACCAGGTCCCTTAAGGGGCGGCGTTGATCTTTGCTGTTGTTGCGTGAGATGCCGAGCCAAAAAAGCATTGCACACTCTTTGAAAACTGTTTGTTGGCAAACCTTTTTCTCTCCCTGATGGGCCAATGTAATCATTGATTTGTGTAGGAATGTGAAAATGACCGTAAACATCCCGTACGGTACAAAATTTTAACGAAAACCTTCTACTTCCAATTCGTGGGTTCGTGCAGCACTGTTAAAATTTTGTACCTTTACCGATGTCTACAATCATTTTCATAGTCCCATCATGGAAAGAAAAAGGTTTGCAAACACACAACTTTAAAGAATATGCGAAGCTTTTTTGTCTCTGCATCTCACACAAAGTGAACATAGATCCCGGCCACGCGAAACATACAGGTTGATCAATCCCAGCGTTCATTTTGAGCTCAGTATTAGCAAAGTCGCGTCTTATTCTTCTTCCAATCAAAAGAAACCACAAGCAGTTTTCGGCCAGTTGGAAAATTCTTCACGTAATTTTCACCGAAGACGTACAAAATATTGTCGATACCTAATTTTATAAGATAATAATTAAAAAAAATCGCTAGAATTGCTCTTGTGTCTTATGATCTGTGGTCACTCGTGATGTTTTTGGTTTCACGTTTCATTCGCCTATGGCTTGTGCAAAACATCACTAGTTCCCATAAATTACAAAAACACGCTCATTCAATCTCCTGATCCTTTTCTAGAAAAAATGAACATATGAATAGCAATTAAACAAACAAACAAACAAACAAAAACAACAACCGTCAGAGGTTTTCTTCAAAACCTGCTCTGTAAAGAACATTTACATTATACAGATATGCTACATCGTGTCTGTACAAAATGCGACAATATCTTCAATAAAGGAGACAAATGTCGTACAAAAAAAGGGGAATTCGTAAATGCAACATACCAAAGTCGAGGTTAATGGAACCTTCAGGTCGACTGGTGTCTTCCCTTTACTTTCCTCAGCAGAAGAGAGAGTCACCAAATACAGGAGCAGTAGCGCTGGCGATGAGACGACGGACCACTTCATCTGCAGAATCAATAAAAAATTTTAGCTTGAACAAAATCCAATTTAATCTCATTCAAACAAGGAAAAATGCTCTTTCATATCTCAAAGGGCTTACAGGCAGGATATTTGCTAAAGGAGAGCGTCCCCATCAGTTGGCTATGGTGAGGCTTACAAACCAGACGCCATGAAGATAAATCGGACTTTGTTTAGTTTCCAAAGTATTTACTGAATGCTTGCATGACCACGATCTCAATTGCTGTGGTTTTATTTTTTTAGATCGAAGTTTCAAAAGCGTTAACTAACTTTTAATCGTTACATTTACTAACCGTAGATAACATGAAGTGAAAAAAATTAATGAATAACCGGTCAACGTAACATAAATTATGTTGTGAAAACTGATAATAATAAGAAAATAGCTCACTTTCTTGTTTACGTGCTTCGTAAAGGAAAATCGTCGTAAAGTGACTCACTCTTCAACACTGCTGCTGCCAGCTGCCACAGTAAATACGTCACGTAGCTTTTCTGGGATATAATTTGTAGAAACTTTTAAGTTTTGAACTGGTGAAAATTCCTCAGACTGCTCGTGACCATAGGGTGATCTGGTGCCTTGTGTAGGTAGCACGTGAGGGCAGTTTAGTTTTCTAAATCTAACCTTGTGACAGCCTATACTCGTAATCTTTTTTATAGTAGTTCTATTTGAATGTCAACAGTGAATCCACCATACCGTATTGAGAAGTGAAGAAAAACCTCATACACTGCTAAGTTATCGGCCCAAAGAACCAGCCACAGTGGTCACGCTGGCCTCGCTTAAACCCCTGAGAAGTGAACCACGTGTGCTTTTCAACCACCTAAAAGTTTCGGTATCAAAGGGCTACATACTGAACGCGCAAAACTTTACTTAAGGCTTTGAACAAAATCTTCATGTTATTCTTAAATCGTAAATGAGCGACTTCATCACAAAATAAAAATAACTTAATCATTGTTTTTTGACAAACTTCACTCATATTTATGTCAGAAAAGCAATGAGCTACACTTCCTATCGGTTTACCAGCTAATAAAAACCACTCGGGAAGAAGCGTTTTCGCGTGCTTAATTACCCTGTAAACAGAGAAAATGTGTGGTTTATTGTATATTTGTACATTTGACAAATCTACCACAGTTTTCCTTTCTCTAGAACCTTATTGATGATATGAATGACGTCACAAGGTCCAAAACTAAAATGAAATCAGTAGGCGCAGCAGGTTATAGACAATGGAGAATTATTGTCGATTTGCCAGCTTAATGCGCCAAAGTTTTCGGAAAATCACATGCACCCGATGTGATCGATAATTGCCTTGTTGTTTGAGCTGCCGTTGTCGTTTTGATATAAGTTATGTAATGACTTCTTCATAAAAATACCAGTAAGAAATGATTTTTAATAGATTTCTGTTACCCTGGATTGTTTTGATCGCATCAGCAAGTGTCTTCTTTCAACGTTGCGAACCGAGAACTGGCTTTCTTTTTCTGAGGATGTTTTCCTCCACTTTTTACAATACAATACAATAGCTTTATTTGAATTGCAAAATAATGGATCAGATAGACTAAAAAGACTATCTGGTATTAACCCATGTGCATATATGTAGAGTATAAAATCTGTATGTAATAAAGCTCTTCTTTAAAAATGTAGCCAAGTTTACTGATCTAAAATTCGGAAAGTCGTCACGGTCCATAGTTCACGAGAGAATTTTTTCTGCGAAATGGTGAGGATTGCTGAGTGTTGCGATATATATATGACGTGTTGGTTATTTTTGTCAGCTTTAACCTTATTGACAATGGCTCTCGCACGAGAATATCTACAGCCATTGTAAAAAAAAAGTGTCGGTATGTATTACATATAAACACGAAGAGAGCTGTATTTGATATAGGTTTAGTATTTTTAAAATGATGTGAAAAAAATGCCTCGTCAAACACTATATATGTTAAACTTCCGTGAATAATTCAGTTTTTTGTTTTTTGAAAATGACAACTTCATCTTCTAGGATATGTTTCGCAATTAAAAAAAGTTCAATTGATTGGCGAAAGTAATCCCAGTTTTCATTGGATTTTTTTCGAACTCGCTCTCTGATTGATCCAGGAAGCTCCGGCGAATTGTTCAACCAATGAGATGCAAATCAGAAACTAATACAATGGGGCACCCGTGTTTTCCCGCGCCTTGGGTTCTCATTGACTCCTGGTATTATTTTCCAATGCTCCTGTTGACCGTTGTGCTTAATTTGGTTTATTTATCAGCGATTCTCAATCAGTCGTAAGGCAAGATAACAATGTTGTCAATTTTGCGCTAATTACAAATCCTCTTTACTCAGCAGGCTTGGCTGAGACCGCGCATTTGGTTCAGATGCACCTTCTGTTGTTAGATAGGTAGACATGTAGAAAACCAACCAATCACGGCGGATGTGTAACCAGTCGACCCTATTAACTAAGTAGCAAAGTGAAGTGAAAGTGAAGCAGTATATAATAACATCTTTACAACACTCTGGAAGTGACTACATCGTTCAGACAGAATTATTAAACTTTGTACGATTTTCACCACATTGGGTTGAAACACAACTCCTTCTATGACTTAAGGTCTTCCTTCCGTCAGAAGCCGTTGTTCCGTCCGTAAATGCACTAAAATGAATATTGTCGACCTGTTAAAAGCCCGTTAACTTGCTGAATTATTCATTTGAAAACTGTCGTTTTTAAACTATTACCCAAAACACAAATCATTTTCCTAGAACATAAATCAATTTCTCAAAACACAGGTTAATTTCTCAAAACGAAAACAATTTTCCTAAAACACAATTCATTTTACAAAAACAGAAGCAAATTTCTCAAAAAACGAACAAATTTCTGAAAAAAAAAAAATTCCAAAAACACATATCAAAAGACTGAAGAGAGAAAATGAAGAGGAAATGAAGAGAGAGAGAAAGCCCCGATTTCCCACGTCTAACATAGCAGTTGCCTTGGACCGTTTTAACGAAGCGTTTTTCCACGATTGCGGATGTGATTCAATTAATGAACTGAAATGAATATTGTCAACCTGTTCATGTTAAAAGGCCATTATCTTGCTGAATAATTAATTGAATTACTGTGGTTTTAAAAGCAAATAACTCACCAACCTCAATCAGGGCTAAGAAAGAAATCATAACGACGCATTACTAACAAAAAGGATATTTTAAGTCAGCTTCCCAACTAAAAATTATATGGGTTTAAAATTATCTTAAAAGCATTTTAACCCACAGATTTTCAGTTGAACAAATTTCAATTCAAATGGCAGAGTGCAGGGCTAAAAATAATGTTATTTTTCGAAGGATGTGTTTTGTGAAAGGAAGCCTGGTTGTTCTCAACGTATTGTGTTGCCTCGGGGGAACTACTGACGCAACTGGCACTGGAAAGCAAATTATAGAGCCTCTGGAGCACAGAAATAAAGCTGGCATGCAACAGAGCAGGTAATAGATGAACATTGAAATATATAATCACTTATTTCAGAATAGGCTTTTCGTTGTATCCTTTCCTTTGAACGGTTAAATTAACCGTAATTACACTACCAATTTCCCCTCGGCTATTGCACTTATCAAAGAACACGTTGCATACTTTAAATCTAGCCAAGACCACCGCTAGTCAGAAATATTTTCCCCATCAAACATATTTGCGTAAAATTATTTGTCAAGCCATTTGAAAAGAAAATGTCGTTCTTGACAATTTTCTTCTTTTTGAAACTCCTTGTTCAAAAATTGTAAGGCACATCGGCATTTGGACAAGTAGATTTGAAAAGTGCCTTGACACTGCTACGGAAAACGTATAAGGTGTAAATTGTGAAACGAGGGGGGAAGGGGAGGGGATTAGTTGTCACCAACAGAGTATAAAGGAGTTGCTATAGATAGTCGTATGCCACTTAACTGCTAATGAAGGGGGGAGGGGGAGGGGGAGAGGGGAGGGGAGAGTAAAATTTACAGAGCCTTATACGTGGAGGATCAATTATTTTTTTCGGTCTTAGAAACGCACAGCTCTTATTGAAAGGAAGCCACTTTGGTCTTTATCTTTCGAACGTCTTTCTTAACGTATTAAAATGATAACAAAAGTCTCTCCTTCCTTGAAATAAATACGAGAGGGGAATGTTTACGCATAGTGGACGTGTAGCTTAAACTTTTCGTAAATAAACCCCTTCAGGCGGCTGGTGTGTCGGTTGACAATGTCCGGGGCTGAGATATTGTCCGAAAATTGAATATTTGGCACAGAGGGGAAGCTTTGAGGGCAAATGTAACTTATCTGTACTCTCTGGAACAGCATGAGCGACCGACTTTCTTATTACATTATCAATGGACTTTGTGAAACGAGTTTTTTATTCTTCTATGCAAAATAATAAAAATGAAAAGGTGAAACTCTTGAGCTAACTATTTTCCGCAGGCTTTGATTCTTATCGACGGAAATACCCGGATGAAAAACATCGAGGCAGACGGGAGTTATTGCATGATACTTGTCCCGTGATTTTGCATCATGTGTCATAAAGAAGCTAATAGAATCGCATGGAAGTTAGTGGGTGGGTTATAATGGAGGAAATCATTGGACAGTCCTCAGTTTTACCAGAGGCATATTCAGACTTGACGCATTCAATCCAGTCACAGACGACGGAAGGATCTTATGGACTGAGCAAAAAAATTATAAGTTTCTGATATTTTTATTAGCTATTCGAATGCAGGGTGCTTGAAATATCTTCTATCTAAAAAGACGTTGACTAAAACTTTCGCTTCCGTTTAGGTCGCTTTTACCAAAGTACTCCGAGCCTGTCAAGTTCAAAACTGCAGCAGTTGCAGCAGATTATAAAAACTGTTCAGAACGTGGAGCTGAAATTTTACGAGATCATCATGGAAATGCCGTGGACGCAGCCATTGCAACTGCTCTGTGTGTGGGTGTAGTGAATGCCCATTCAGCAGGTATTGGAGGTGGAGGTTTCATGATCATTCATGACAAGAAAAGGGGTGAGTTACTGTAAATAATGATCAAAGTGCTGCGATTGCATCTGCCAATAACAGTAGTAGTTGTACTAGTAGCAGAAGTAGTAGTGTAGTAGTGTAGTGGTAGTAGTAATAGTAGTAGCAGTAGTAGTGGCAGTAGTATTAGTAGTAGTAGTAGTAGTAGTAATAAAACTTAATGTTTACATGACATTTCCATTCAGTGAAAGACTTCAATTGTTTAAGGGATAAAACAAACTGACCTACTCTAACTAGAAAAAGAATAGTTGTAAAAGTTAGACCTGTTTTATAAGGATGCCGCGCATGAATATCATGCAATAGCTAAAACTTCGTAAGCTTAGTAAGTGCACACCGATAGGCTTTTGATAATTTAGAAGAGACACCAAAAGAGCCATAAGAAGGGAATCGGAGTTTATGTGATCCTCTCGCATTAGAAAGAGTATCTGTAATACCAAACATTTTCTGCCAACTGAGGAGAATTAATGTAGCACGATGGCTTTTGTCTCGAGGTTCCTATTTCTTTGCAGCGAAAACTACGGCAATCAACTTTAGGG